TCCTTCACTGAGTGCAGACACTTGAAGCGATTGCCAGAATCTGCAGGCCCGGGAGCGTCTTGTAGGATTCCGGCTAAAATCAACTTACAGCGCCTGGATATGTTCATTTTATATCACTATTAGACAACCTAGGGTCCTGGCTACATTTCATCCCTACCTGAGATTGCTGCTGCCCTCAGTAACTCAACTCCAAATCCAAATGCACGCGTACATCACTGTGGTAGGGCCGGTGGCTATCTAAGCATGATCATAGTCCCTGATCCACTCTGAGAACGCAAATACGAACTCCTCGAAATCAATCACGCCGTTCTGATCCCAGTCCAGTTCCTTCCAACGGTCCTCATTGAGGAAAACATCAGAACCATCGCCCGCCATGCCCTGGGCTTGCATCAGCTCAACGTTATTCCTCGAGATCGATCCTGTGCAATCCGTATCAAATAGAAGGTATGCGGCGACGATCCAGTGTACGAGATAATGGATGTCGTTTGATCGTCCAAGAAAGGCATCCTGGGCGGCGCCCTGATCGCTCGTGAGCGCAGCCTCGGATCTAGGCGTCAAGTGAGAGATCTTCAGGTGCTCAACCTAACGCGATGTCGAAAACTAAGTGCAGTATGTCTCTAGAAAGAATAGTGGCACTGTTGTTGCAGAGTGAGAGGGTCGTATGAGTCCACTAGCGTCTTGTCTATCTTGCCGAATGCTAATCAGCGTAGGTACGGCTCGTAGAAGATAAAGAAGGCTTAGGGTGACCAGGAATTCCTTCAGGCTAATTGCACCATCATGATCAACATCACACAGTTCGAATACTGATTTTAGATCCCTGGGCGAAACTTCGTGTCCTATTTCTAACTTGTCGATCATTTTTTGGAGCTCTCCCAGATCTAGTGACCTACAAGAAGACATTAAGTGCATCGCATACTCAGCTGTCACATACCCATCTTTATTGATGTCCAAAGAATCATATACAGCTTTGATACGTTTATAAGTCGCATTCAAAGAGCTAGCTTTCATAAGAATCTTCGAGAAGGTCACCGGAGAGCTTTGGGCGAGTTCGTCCCTTTTTAGTTTAAGCATTTGCACCACTTTCTTCCTTAAAGTGTTAGCTGCCATGGAATGAACTTCTCGCGCTTTCGCTGGCTTACATCCCATTGACGCTGACTTGCACCCCACTTAGCAGTTACTTTCTTTGGCCGCCAAGCCGACTTAGTGTGGCAAACGAGCCGAAGTTGAATTTCGTCGGTCCGTTTCCAAGGTGCAAGATCAACCTGACGACGGTCGGCAGGAGAGCGCTGAGCGCGTCTGATGCGGTTTCGCTAGTACTACCCGTAGCACCGCGAAAATGCGGAGATGCGGGTGTGCACCGCTAAGTCGAACCTCGGGAATCACATAGACGACACACCTGCGAAAACGAGACATCCTGGGGATTGCGTAGCAGCTCAAACGAGTGGCTTTAGGAACTGCAGTCGGCGACGTCGTCGCCCCCCGACCCGATTTTGATCCCGTTCGGGCGCACGGAGCATCAGGGATCGTTCATCATCGAGGCAGCGATGGTAAAATCTTCATTTCGAGCGCCAGTCCGCTGCATCGGCCGCGCGGCGTTCGGGCGTTTCGAAGCGGACCGTCGTCCGTCTCCCGGCCACGGCATTCCGGCGGGCAGTGCACCAAGCGACCGCCGCCGGCGAGCGCCGCCGCCGGCGCCGCCGCTGGAGGAGGCGCGCAGCGCCCCCCTGACCAAATTTACTCGGACCGACCACATTACCCGAAAAAGGACCAAATTTGGTTGAAAATCTAAAATTCTCTATTTATTAACTTATTATTGTCGCTGTTGGGGAATGTGCTTGGGGGAAGATGACATTGTGTTGCTACCGCCCCTTTCCACTCTTTCGGCTGCGAGCTCTCCGTCCATTGCGTCGTCCACATCAGATTCCCTGTTTTTGGGCTGTGAGATGCCCCTAGAGGCAGGGATAGATGCAAATTATTTCACCGAGGAGAGTTCGAGTCTAAGAAATACTCGCCAGCTCTTGGACGCAAATGATTCAATTCTTGAGCCTGGTCTATGGGCGACGGTAGCAGAGTTTGTGCGGCATGGCGGTGATAGCGGTGAAGTTCCCCTTCTCCTCGCGCGTGGTCTGATAGGATATCCGCAGATGGCTCGTTTGCTTGTTCACTGGCTTGGGATTGCGGGTGTCTCCCAGGTCGAAGTCGAAGCCATCACGTGGGATGCAGTAGAAAAAGAGCTCAAAAGGCGACTTGATGTTTGCTCGCTTGATGATTCCACAGTGCAGTGGCTTGTATCGCGGCCGAAGTTCCTAGATACCCTGCTTGAAAAGCGACAGGGTCGGTGCTTGGTCGTCGACCTGTACTCTGATACGTCCAGACAAGGTGATGGCAGTCAGAGTGATCTCCTTTGCCACTGTCTGCGAGAAATAGCTGCTCGCGGTCATATCTCTGAACTACTGGAACTTGACAGAATTTGCTTGTGCGACGACTGGTACCTGTTTAAGGCAGGACTACTTAGCTCTGTGATGCGCGCTGCAAAGCCAAATCGTAGTTGTGCCTCGTCAGTTGAAACACTGGTAACTGATATACTTCGGTGTTGCGGTGCGCGCTTAGAGGCACAGTGCTATGCAAATCGTGTCCTCGAGACTATTGAGTGTGCAGCTGGTACGAAAGATCCTCTCCTATGGCGCTATGCGCTCCAAGATAAGCGCCTCGTGATCAAACCCCCACTACTCCGGCTTTTACATGGGCCTCTCCGGGCTCCGTGCGCGAATGCACTCGGAGACTTGGTCCTGAGCCTTGCGCGCAATCCAACAGTGACCGCTCTCGATGCTGTGCGCACTGCATACAACGCCATGCCACATACGGCATACTTACGTGTGCCGCAGGTGGCTGCTGCCCTTTTTCAGCTTGCATTTGATCCGACTTTGGCCATACCCCACTCCATCGATGCTGCGGCAGATCTCATTGCCGCTGCGGTGAGCATACCATCCAAGACTGGTGATGGTCTAGGCCTCGCCAATACGAGTGATTGCATATGTGCCACGCATGCTGCAACAGCCGCGGTCATTGCTACAGCTGCAAAGACATGCCTTCACGAAACCCTTTCTACTTATGGCCACGCATCAACGGGGGACATCCTTCTTGCTGCCGCTTGCCGATGCGCTGCTGCACGTCATGGAATTCTTGTCTGGATTGCCAAACTCCTTGACGATCCATCATGGCTGCGCACGCGTCTTCGCTCATTCGCATCATCGGCGTTGTTGATTCTACGCACCGCCGCGCGTTCACCTCATGCCCAGCGGCGTGTCTTTAATGCGTATAAGCGCATCGTGGACGCCCCGCGCTACCTGGTCGCGCAGCTCAGGAACGCACGTGTATCAGAGCCGTACGACTCTAACGATGTGAGTAAGGCAGCCATTGTCGGCCTTGTTGATCTCGCTGCCGACTGGAGCTGCGCACCCGATATAGTGCACTTTGCCAAGGTGTCTGACTCCATCCACGGTACACTCCTCAAGCACTTTGTCCTCCGACTTGGGAAGAAGACTCGTCCACCATACTCGGTGGCATTTGCGACTGCTGCAGCGGATCTTCTTGGTTGTGAAAAAGCTAGGCATGTATGGCGTAGACTCGACACACTCCCGACAAATGAAATCGTTAACATCCGCAGTCTCGCTTCAGGCATCGCGTCGCGCCTACAAGATATTCCAGATGATGGCACACGTGCCTACCTCACACGCCTGGGAACCGCGTCGGGCCAAATTGCTGTCGCATTGCCAAAATTTATATCGACTGTGGATTCCTTCCAGTCATCACTGATGCCAGAGTCTAAGGAAAGCGGTAGTTCACTAATCGACACAGAGCCATTCACTTTCTCGCGAACTCAGCTGAATGATACCAATCCACCAGAAGTGCGAGCTGGGAAGCGCCGCGCATCGGACCACACACCGCAGTGTGTAGAAAAGAGGTATCGGGCTGCCGAACCCTGATAGATGTATTTTTCTCTGGATAGATCGAGCCAACTAGACGAGGGTCCTAGTCCTGTGGTTGCCAGTGTCTGTGTCCTTATTCCTGCGCCCCTGTAGGCGCCTCTAATCATAAGGTGGCCAAGGTGTAGCCTCTATCTGTCGGGGGCGCCGTAGGGCAAAGGGGGGCGGCGACGACGACGGCGGTTTTATCAGGACATCGAGAGCCCAAGGCCAGCCTGGTAAATTCGAAGTTGAAGAACGGCCGACCACCAAGCATGTATAGTGCTCCAGGTCCGATTGGCAAAATCAAAGCACGGAAAGTACATGTCAGATAGATAGCACTCGCGAAATCTGATCCCAAGGCCATCATCTCGCTAATTGACATCTTCACGCCAGGTACCCGCGAAGAGAGTGGGCCTACTTTTGGGTCCGCCTGTTTTTCTAGGAGTGTAGCGACCCGGCTCTGTTGTCTCAACAAGGCCCTCACGGCCGGAGGTCGGATTGGGCTGGTACCGGGAATGGGAAAACTGATCCTCGACACCGAACGACTTCACCTCAGCACGCCCGATACCAAGTATTGAAGAGCACTTGGGTTTGAGGAGTCCCTCGGTGACTAGTTGTTCTTGTCGACGATCGTGCTCATTTCCTGAAGGGAGCGGTGTGTAGAAACGGTAGTGCGAGTTGCGGATCGTAATTTCGCCAGACTTGATGAGCTCTGCAGATGGTCGATCGCTGAGATAGCGCGCTTGAAGTCGCTGTCCCCGCACTTTATCAGGGTCAAACTTTCCAGAAACTACATCAAAGCCATTGTAATTGCACTTGTCTTGCAAGAACCCCCGCCGTTTCACAAGGTGGTCAGCCGCCACTTTCGCCTTTACTCGTTCTGCTTCTTTGCGCTGGGCGTGTTGATTGATCGCATTCGCATTTCTTCGGTTGAATCCCTTTTTGAAACGAGTGGTACAAACTCCTTGCATCGCCTGCTCCATTCGAGCGAACCCGCCAGGACCGTCAATGTGCGTTAAGTTGAGACTGTGGTGCGCCGCCTCAAAGTTAACTCGCTTGCCGAAGCGTAGAGCTCCGCCGCCGCGGGTCTCCGGTGGGATGGTCATTCGATGTAACGCGACCCAGAAGGTATGTTTAGGGATGTTGAAAGATATAAAAATCGAATTAGGATACCCTTATTATTGCGCAGGAGTGTGGCTCAGGCTGAGGTGGCTGCGCCATCCAAGCGCGGGCTAGGGTCGCGGTCGACTCCCCCCTGAATGTCCGTTTAATTCAGGGCTGGCGTCTTCGGCCCCGGCGCCTGGCCGGACGTGTCCCAGGTGATAAACGGCGACTTAGTTAGTCGTTCAACATGAAGATTTTGTTGAACTTCAATAGTCAAGTTGAAGCTACAAACCCCTGGAACTGGAAGAAACCAGTGCAGAGTGCTGCTTGGCGCCCGCCAGTCACAGCCGCAATGACACCGAAGCGCCACTGGCGCCGCCTCGTCCGAAAATCGGCCATTGTGGCCGATTTTTAGAAAAAAAATCTCCGGTAACCGTCAAAATTCGTACTGCGCGTGCGGCCGCACGCGTCCGTAGGCGCACTAGGACGCCCAAAAACCCTCGCCCCGCCCCAAAAATCTAGTCTAGTTAGTCGGCAGGCCTGTCGGCATGCTGTCTACTCTATAGGCCTAGCTAAAATAATTGCCCTTTGCCTCATATCTAGGCAACGTGCAACGCCATCTAATGGAGCCTCCGAGCCTTCTAGAAATGCTAGATAGTATGCGGAAAAGGCTAAAGCGAAGAAACGTCTTACTTGACGAGGTGCGGAAAGCCTATCTCAAGGACGTTGTTGTCGTGCGCGATCTGCTCACTCGTCGTGAAGAAGGCGATAAGATGGCATCCTCTCTCAACTTGCGTCCAACTCTAGCATTGTATGCACCATCAGAATGCACATTTCGAGTGGCTCACGGCGGACGCTTTGATGATTACGGCGGACATATTGAAGTTATTCATCGTGAATCAAGGCGCGTCTCAGAGCTTTCGAAACGAATCGAGGAGCTTCTTGAAATAGAGCAAGAATCAAGGTTCAAAGCAGCCAAGCTCGAAGTGCAAGCGCAACAAGACCGAGCCGCACTCAATAACCAACGAAATCACAATCGTGATGAGCGCGAACAACTTTGTACGGAAATATCAATGCTCAAAGACCGCTTAGACCGCCTTGATGAGACGGCCCTTGACACTGCACAACGTACAATTAATGGCTTACAGCATCAGCTAGAACATGCAGAAACTCGAATTAAGGAACTAGTCCCATTGGTTGGTGATAGTGCCCGTAGTCAACAAGAGGCAGGTCAGGCCGGACTTTTGATTGCCGGCAAGGACCACCGCATTTCTGAACTTGAAAAGGGCCTCTTGACAGCCAAGCGTGATTTGACTCTTGAGCTCGAACGATATAACGATCTTGAGAAGAAATTAAGTGAAGAGTGTGCTGGATCAAATATTTTGCGGCGCAAGAATGAAGACATACAGATGGAAATCCGGGATGCCAAAGTTCAGATCAATGCCACACAAAGCTCTCTAGATGACAGTCGAAGATCCGAAGCCGAGCTCAATCAGAAATTGAGCGACTTGCAAGTCGAATATACGGAAGCCGTCCAGCGTGAGGAAGCAGAACAAGAAGAGCTGCAGCTGCAGTTGGAAAACCTTAGGGAAGAAACACGCCTGTCTAAACATAAAATGGAGGAAATAAAAAGCAAGTCAATGAAATCCGAGTTGGCACAACATGAAGCACTTACGAGGGCCTGCGCAGAGGTGGAGCAGAATTTGATGATAAAGCATCAGCATGAGATGCTCCAGCTAAAAGATGACGCGGCACGGAATGATGAGAAGCTGATAAAACTCGATGCGAAGTTGAAACTAGAGCAAGAGAAACGTGCTATGCTTGACGTGGAGCTTAAAGGGCTGCGAGTCGAAGAGCAAGAGCACGTGCAGTCTACAGCAAATCTGCATAACGAGATTGGCGCGAAGCTTGATGAGATTCTCACATTGCTCGGTCTTCCAGTTTGTCCAAACGTCGATAATAAAGATATCAGTGGCGATCTAGAAGTTGTTCAAAGCTACATGGTGGAGTGTCTGGCCACCGTGGATAGCCTCCGGGAGGAAAAGGATGCGCTTTTGGCCCACTTGGATCAATACAAAGCCAAGTCTGACGCGGCTTCGAGCAGTGCAAGATTAGCCTCACTCATTTCGTCGAAGGACACAAAAAAAAGTTTCTCAAACGAACAGCTTATTCAAATGCTGCAGGAGAATGCAGATGGGCTTTCACAACTGCAAACTGAACTCGACATCTCTAATGCTGACCGCGACCGAATTGAGACAGAGTCGAAGCTTGTGTCAGACGCTCTGGAAGCGACACAACACGAGCTACGAGCACTTCTTTCCCAAGACATAGAGGCTCGGTGCAGTAAAGCCATCGCGCAGTTTGACTTGAGTGCCGAACTCTCTTCTGAATTGGATCGTGCGCGTACAACTTCGCAGAGGTGCATTGACATCAAAGCAAAACTCACGGAGCTTGGACTGCGATCTACCATGCTTGAAGGGAGATTCCCCCAAGTTTCAGGTAGCAGTCCGGCTCCTCATCAATCAGAAGTGCGTGAAAATCAAAGGTACCAGGAGCACTCACAACGTGCAACGTTGAAGGACACAGAGGAATTGAAGACTCCAGCAGAAACTTTTGACTTTCAAGGTCGCGAATTGCGCACTCACTTGGTCTCTGCCACCTCCATGTATATGGAGGCACTCCAGCAGCTGCGTGAATTGGAGAGTTCAGAATCAGAATTTTTGGAAACATCGCTCGACACACTTGGTAGCCTTGACACGGACGAAATGGCAACTCGCCTTGTCGAAATCTCCTCCAAATTTTCTATTTCTTTTGATAACGTGGCTACTGAACTGAGATCGCTGCGCAATTTGTCTGATCAGCTACCAGCCAACTTCTCTTACAGTGAAATGCAGTCCAAAGTTACTATGCTAGAACAGGCTGCAAAGGAAGCGGGAGAAAGTGATTCTGGGAAGAAGGGCGGAAGGGAAGAGGAACTACAACGGCTAAAGCAGCGCAACACGTCGCAACAAAACTTCATCATGGAGCTCCAGGAAGAAGTAGCCACGATGAAAGGACTCATGTTTGCAGCGGATGAAATTAAGCGGCAGTATAGCGAGCTCGAGGACAAATATAGATTGCTTGAGAATGAGTTCACTGAGAAAGCTGAAAATGAAGTGAATTCACGCAAGGCTAAAGAGCGCATAGAGCTGCAACTAACGCTGGCTCACGCTGACATATCGACGCTTACTCGTGATAAAGAGTCACTTATAGTTTCATTGAAGAGTAATGAAGACCTAATATCAAAGTTGGAGTTGAAGCTAATGCAGACACAGCGAGTATATGAAGATGTTGTGCAACACGAAAAAAATAGATTGGAGACAAATAGGGATGTTGGCACCCAGTTTAGTCCGTTGCTTGTGGATGCTAGTGCACAGACATCTTTCAAAACACCTGGAATGACATTGCGCCAAATAAATATATTTGCTCACGTTCCTCATCGCAAATGGGGACCGGGGTTGGTTACTCCTGCTATTATTGACCACAAGTCCTTGGAAACTCTAGAATTGCCATTGTCGTACCACAGGCCCACAACATCTGGGAGTCAAGGGATTTCCCAAAACACCAGCAACACCACCATAGGATGTCACGCAGGGAGCTCTCCGAAGTTTTCACCGCTCCCTTCGGTATGAATAATGGGGCAGTGAAGCTGGGCGCTCTCTAGACCCCTCTTTGGTCGGCTAGGTACTGTTGGTGGACCTTTCTGCAACGGCCGACAGGTGTTTCGTAAGCTCTAGTCAAACGGCCAGTGTTTGTAGCGCTTACTAGCGCTCTAGCATCGCACCCCATTTTGTTTACTGCGCGGACGCGGCCGTCCCTAGGGAGCCCCTATAGGCAGGTTCGGATCTCGAATACCTCACACTGCAGTGGCCAGATGGCTTGCATTTACGGCAGTACAATATGTTTCCTTTCACACTGCAGTGGGCCAGATGGCTTGCGTTTACGGCAGTACAAAATGTTTCCGGTAACGAGTCAGTGAGTTTAGACCATATGGGTATACCGCCAGAGGGCGGCTCCGCCCACCTGACTTCGGATTCGTCTCGGACATTTCAAACTTCCCGCGCGCCCAGACACGTTCTTGCAGTCGGGTTTCTCGCAGTAGGGCCGAAATCGAGAGCTCTCGCGGCCATCTCCGCGCTTGTGGTACTCGTTTGGACCCCTCCAGCTGTCAGATTTCGCCAAAAAAGACCGGTTTCACCCCCGGGTTTGTTAGAATCCGAGTATGCTAGTATTCAGCACCAGCATAGTATAGCATGAGCATGGCCAGTATAAGGCAGCTTGAGCATAGCCAGCATAGGCCAGTATGAGCGCCCCAGCATAGGGAGGGTATCATAGTCCCGAGTTAGGGTAGCATAGCCCAAGGAGCGGAATGTAGGCTCCCTAGGTAGCTGGCTTATCGCCAAGCGCACTTTGATTGTGCTTAATCACACTCGCGTTCTGACCACGATAGTCGCCGTTTATCAGGATTGTCCTGTAGTGGTCCGGAAGACGTCGGCTCGCAGTTTATAATTATTATTTTATACGGTCCAATCTTGGGACCAAGATTGGAGCGGTGGTTGCCTAGTACCGCCGTAAACGCAATATGATCGACGATATATGGCTACAGTATGATCGACGATATAAGCTGAAGATCGGGGTTAAGGTTAAAGCTACTCGCCTGGCGGCGCCGTGGTCTGGTGTCGCCAGGTTGTCTGACTGAATCGACTCGCTAATCACGGTGATGAACACTCATGATTTAACAAAGCGTGAATTCTGCGACGTGATTGGAACGCCAATTGTCGCTTTGCTGGATCCACCCTGCCTCGATCTTGCAATAATTCCAGAGATGGGTACTGACATCGTCGACAGTGACGTTGAGGATGATGGCATGTCAAGCGAGGAGAGGCGCTTGGATCAAAGTACTTCAACACTCTATGCCGAACTCATGGAGGTTGATGAAAGCCACGTGACAAGGTCGAGTCGTCCTAAGCTCAGAGATTGGTTGTTGGCTTTTTACTCCGAGCACAATCGTTGCAAGATAGATGAAATCGATACAATAATGGAGAGGTACAAGGGACGCGAGGCGAGCCTTGTTCGGAACCTAGAAAAAAAATACGCACCTCCGCGATACAAAGTCAGGAAAGCCCAGCGTTTATGTTGTAATAATTCCCGCCTCCTGACTTTGCGTCGATTTAGGAAGCACTCGACGAGACAGTTCTTCTGCCGCAGAACTCACCACGGGAGTCTGGGTCAAGCTTGCGTGCAACACAGGTGATGAACCATTTTTCCTACCTCCTTGACCCGCTCCTCTCCACCGCCACGCGCCGGAATCGAGAATAGCACCATATCCCGCCGTTCCAAAGAGTCATGCGAGCCATTCGTTTTTCTTGAAGCGTCGCGTGGATACCATGAACAGCGCAGAACCAACAAGGCACCTCCAACCCCTCAAAGTCTGTATTTTTTTCGATATTAGCCTGAGCTAGAATCATCGACCACACTCGCAAATATCACGATTTTCTTCTTCGCAAAAGAATCAGCTATTTCAGAGCAATGCAGGATAAAATGCCAGCCCTGTGTGCCCTGGATTTTGCCGAAATTATTGTTGTATCCATCGCCGCTCGCTGTAGATAAAAGAAGGACACTACTAGAGATACAGGCCATCTGCACTGCCAACTTCAAGCTAGTCGTGACCCCTAACTTGAGGCGTGGGCGGCGCCTCTGGTCCCGCCGCGGCCGGGCCGCAGGCGTGAGCGGTGGTGGTGACTCGCGCGATATCGGGGGTCCCTTTTGAAGGGCAAGCGCCGGTGTTGTTGAAGTGCAAGGTTAGGGGTTGAAGCGGCGTTAAACATGTCCCGCCGGCGGGATATGCTCTGCACCAGCACCAGAACCTCTGGCTCGTCGACCTCGTCATCGACCCGGCGTCCTACGACGCGCACGCGGCCCCGGCGCTGCCCGTCGCCTGCGACGACACGGCCGGCGCCCACGGCGACGCGGAAGGCGCAGCCGACGTCCGGCACGACCTGCCCGCGACGCACGAGGCCAGCGACGGCACCGTGACGCGGGACGCGGCCGGGGGAGCGCCCGCCGCGCCCGCGGCGCCCACGCCCGAGACCAAAACACCCAGTGTGCCACCTCCTACGCAGGAACCTGAGGAAGATTCTCCGACTCGAGTCCTGTATCTGCCCTACTGCCGTATCTTCCCTCTGCAGGTTCCTATCTTTATATATTTGGATTTCAGTTCCCCGAAGTCCCCACTTCAGTATGCGGCTCTTCCTTCCTTTTCCCAATTTCCCTCTCTTTCCCCCTTTCTATTCCACGTTAGGACAGTATAGGGCGACCCTCTCCTGTTGGGAATCAGGGCTGCCTAGCAGCCCCCATCTCTCTCTTCCATTTTCCGTCTAGGTCAGGGACACTGCCATTTGCCCTCAAGATATGTTCATAATCTAAGGCCACACTGGCATGGCCGGCAAGTACGTTCTAGCCCCCACCTTAACTGCCCTTGGCCTGCTATGCTAAGCCCCCGGGGGTGGGACAACAGAGCCAGAGACGTCGCTTCGATGGTGCAAGGCGGCCTTCTTTGCGCCGCGAGGACCCGGGATAATCAGGCTCGGGGGTAATATCGACGACGGCAATTGTCGTATCATCTTTGAAGGGCCGCTCGCGGACGCCGTTTTGTTTGGCACACTCAAGACGAACACACTTGAGGAGGGTAGACGCACACTTCTGAGGATCTTGATCGTGCATGAAAGCGAGCTTCGCGACTGTCTTGAGATTTAGTGTCTCCCAGAGGCCATCCGATGCAAGAACAAATCTTCTCACGTCGCCTATGCAAATTCAAGCTGGTGGGTGGAATTTCCTGGTTTCTACACGGGCTTGGGCCACGCTTGACAACGCGACGAACAACTTCAGGCTGGGGGATGAGCGCCCGAGAAGAATCCCAATCACCAATGGACCGGGTCACACAAGTTGATGCGCCATGGACGACACTCTTGCCTGGAAGCTGAAACCACCGCGCATGCAGGGCAAGAGCACCAGGCTCACCCTTATTTGATCTACGCGGACCTAGGTGGCTTGGAGCCCGCTCCAACGAAGATGATTTTGAATGCGTTCTCGACGCAAAGACGCGGCCATAAGTCGCGTCGAGCCTAAAAGCTATTGTGCTCTGTGTCAGGTATGGTATCTTGTGCAGCGGGGAGCGCCCCTGGGAAATCCGATTGAAAGCCGAAACTTCACACATTCCACACTGCCGTAGCTTTTTCTCGTATGCAAAGGAACGTCTTGTTAATTCTCCAAACTGACTAGGGTCTTCGCGAGGGTTCATATTTACCAAAAGCTCGCGCGCGCGCCACTGGTGTTGGATCCGATCGATCTCTGCAGCATTCGAGCCTAAAGGTGTTGCTCTCATGAGATTGACGTTGGATGACCATTTTTGATCAAGATGCAGGGTAGCTACAGTTATGTGCAGATGTCATGTATGTGACATTTGCAGCAGAGGCAGTCATCTGAGAGAGACGGACCGATTGATATCGCGTTGGGAAGTGTTCGGACACGGGAAGAGAAGCACGTCAATCTCCATTATTTGAGAATCGCCGACCCACGCCAACGTGACGTAGAAGTCATCGCCGTCCACATGGTCAATGATCATTATGCTTGCAGTGGTTCCTGATGACAGAGATTGGGGACCCAGTGTCTCATCAAGCTTCCAGAATCTTTCCTCAATATCCTCCTCATCTATCCAACAGTGCGAGGAGCACTTGCGGGCCACGAATTTCCCCCCATGACCATCAAAGACGCCGAACATGGTTTTCTGAGGCCTACAGAGCACAGAGATCCTCGTCATGATACCACAAGAAGACACGTGTAAGCGCCGGCGCTCGATCTGAAAAAAATCTTCTTCCTTCGTCAGATACATCTCCACTCC